TGCTTTTGCTGTATTTCTGATCAAATAAATGCAGGCTTGGTGACTAGTAGTGTATATACAAGTAATTTTTTGCATCACAGTGTTTTTGGTGTGGTTTGTGTGTAATCAGAAATTTCAAAGAATTTCTCAAAAAGGGCTAACGTTCCAGACTTCGACATTTTTTCACATCGACTCGTTCATGAGAAGTTGCTGATTAGACTCAATATGGTTTTAGTTGAACAATATTAAGTTATGAGTGTCTTGTAGGATAATGTTTCTCTACGATGCTTCGGAGAAACACAGCCCTGAAATGAGACTAGGACTCTGATTTTGAAAGGGTTAAAGAGCTCATGATCGGAATATGATTGGATGTAGCTCATGTGTGTCAGTGGGACAGAAACACACTGATCTTTTTGTTTCTGGTTTTTTAATCTCAGATTATTTGTAAAATGGCTCCGATGGTGGGGAAGGACGTCACCGAGCGACTCTTTCTGCCGCGCTTCTGCGAGATGTGCTGCGATTGCAGGATGTTCCACGTGCGCAAGGTGGGTGAATCTGATTGGCTCAGGAGGATGACGGCTGAATCTGATTGGCTCAGGAGGATGACGGCTGAATCTGATTGGCTCAGGAGGATGACGGCTGAATCTGATTGGCTCAGGAGGATGACGGCTGAATCTGATTGGCTCAGGAGGATGACGGCTGAATCTGATTGGCTCGTGCTCGTGTTCGGTCCTCGGCGCTCATCAGACGTGTGTTTGTGTCCGACAGGTTTGTGCGGCGAACTTCGGAGACGTCTGCAGTGTGGTCGGAGGAGAGGCGATGGAGGAGCTGCTGGTACGTTCAGTTCAGGGGAGACGACGGGGCAAGTTGTCACGCGGCTTAGAGGTTTAAAGTCAAACAAGTGCTTGTTTTCTCTAGCGGCAAGATATTTATGTATGTTTTTTTTTTTTTGTTTACTTCTGTATTCCATAGTAGTTTTTATGTTTTTCTTTGCTCAGCGTTGTAGGCTTTAAAGTGTGTGTCTGTGTAGAAACACTGAGACGGTGTGACGGTGCTGGAAAGGGCCGTCTCAGGTGATGTTATGGGCTGTGTTGCTCTCTTCTGTCAGCTGCCGCGGTTCTTCCAGCTGTGCTCTGATAACGTGTGGGGCGTGAGGAAGGCCTGCGCCGAGTGCTTCATGACCGTCTCCTCGGCCTCGTCTCCAGAAGTGCGGCGCAGCAAACTCTCGTCTCTGTTCATCGGTCTGATCAGCGACCCGTCGCGCTGGGTACGTCATCAAACACACTGCATTTACTGCTTTATTTATTTTGTTATTATTCCCACACTTTTCTGGATTGCATTTAAATGCTTGAAAAGTAAATGTTAGTAATCAGAAAGCATGTCTAATTAATTTAAATCATGAAAACTATACAAATTAACAATTATTTAATAAAAGTTTAACAAAAACTCGATTTTGATCAAATTTTGAAAAAATTACATTTTAACTCCGTTTTATTTTCCCAAATCCTTTTTTTTTTTTTTTTTTTTTTTTTTCCAACTTCCATGTTTTCTTTTTTAATTTTT